AAGGGAAGTTGGCGAGGAAGAAAGGGCCGACAACCATAGCCGACTTGAGGGTTGACTTCGGTGATGACCAAGAGTTGACCGGTTGTTGATCAGAGGGTTGACCGGAGCGTTGGCCAAGGTTTGACCGCATTGACCAAGTGTTGACCAAGGTGTTGACTGAAGCTGTTGAGAACGATTTTGACCAAGTTGGAGTTGGTATAATCTCGCCAAGCCCTTAGTCTATCCCCTTGCCCTATGGATGTGCACTCACCCTATGGTACTTGCCGAGTCTGAGTCTGTCTGTCTCTTCTTTTTGCATTGAGTGTCTTCTGTCCAGGTGATAGGACTCTGTTTATGAAGGATAGGGCCTTGTTGACCAAACCCACACGGGCTGAGTAGGGCCAAAGGCTGTGTCTGACGACTCGACTGTCCCTGAGGACACGAACCCTCCCAAGGACCGGTACTGATCGGCGGGCTGCTCGATGTGGCACGGTAGGCCCAAAATCCGAGCTGTGGGCTGCACAACGGGCCGTCTAAGTCTTGAGAGAACCTGCTGATCACGTCATCCTGTTTGTGACAATAAAGAGTTCCGGAGGAGTTACAGGGGATCTCCTTAAATGCCTCCTGATCAGCAATAGGTTCTGTAGTGACGGCTGCAGGCCAAAGACCATAGTTGGCAGGGGTCTATACGAATCTTGTGGTCCTTAGATCGAGACAGTCTTAAGTTGAGTCAGTTAGGGGGAGAGTCGAGAGTCTAAGTGGTGAGGAGTGGGACCGTCACGACTGCCAGACTCAAATTGAGAAGATCTGTTGTACATTGCCAGGAGATTCGCACGTCTTCATCCAGAGTTATGTCGGGTATGAAAGGATATGTAGCAAAGGAAGCACGGTTAGAGAAGTGGCACTGGGGACAGAACACTCAACCACTCGTTATTCACAAGTGGAATCACCACCTAAGCGATGGTGCGAGTGTTACCAGCCAATAGAATATGTCGAGCCGCCTCTCGGTCAACATCGTATTCCAGCGAATATTTCAACAATTCACCGCGCAGCGCTAATTAGGGTTAGCACCACCGGAAACTCCCAATTAGCGCTAAGATTAGCGCATGCGCTGAAGTTAGCGCTAACTCGCCACCGCCGCCCATCCCCCAGTCCTTAAAGAGCGCAGTCAAGTTTCAAGTGAAGGGAAGTGGTGTAGAACGAGGCCCCATGTGGATCCCTGCCTGAAGGTAAGCGTGTGGAGCCCAGGCATAAATACTGAAATGAAAGAAGAACCAAGCGCCGGGTTGCTGCCGCAACGAGATTCGATGGCAAAAGCATTCCGATGTGTCCATGACACGTGTAAGCGTGAACACGTCTGAAGCGCGACTCAATCACTCTAGCATTTTCCTAAATGCATCTGGCCACAATTAAGGCCACGTCTGGATGTATCCGACCGCAATCAAGCTGAGAGGTCCGTCAAAAAAAGTCCTACTACAGTCGGCGCTGAAAGAAAACGAAACGGCCACGTGTTCGCGCGAATACGCGCGGAGCTAAGTGACACGGAAGGGAGGGTTTGACTGCCGGCGGAAGAAGAATAGCGAAGAACGGACAAAGGCCCTCGGTCGACCACTCACCAACTGTGCAAAATGTGAATAAGTCTTCCGCTAGAACATGGAAGTATACACCACCATAGTTTTTGTCTTTTGTGCATGTGCTGAGTAGTGCAGCGAGGCCCAAAGGTAGGGTTCTTTTCGACCCAAAGAAGGGGAGAAAACACCCAGGAAGAAGAAGAAGGGGAAACAAGGAGGAGAGGACAAAGAGGAGGAGGAGGAGGAGCAGGAGCAGGTGGAGGAAGGGAAGAGAGCGGTTGGTCACTCGGAAGAGGGGAAGGAGGAGGGGGGCAGAGGTGAATGTTTGGTGTGGGCAGCGAGAAGGACAGAGAAAGCAAAACGAGAGAGAGAGAGAGAGAGAGAGAGAGAGAGAGAGAGAGAGAGAGAGAGAGAGAGAGAGAGAGAGAGAAGCCGGAGGAGGCCGGGAGAACGAGAGTTTGACCCTTGCGGTTTGTACAAGTAGGTTGCGCTGTACGTTTTTTCGTCTTTGTGCTTTCAAGGCGCACTCAAACGGACTTCTTGTACTCTTTTTTTTCTTCTGGACGGAATGGTGGCCAGATGCATCCACTGACGGCCGTAAATGACGTCAGATACATTTAATAAGATAGAGCTACCAAAGTGAGTACGCCTTCAGTCTTTCAGATTGATTCATCTCAGCTAGGGGTCTCTGTTATTTTGACAGACGTGAAGGTTGACCCTTACCTGGTCTTGTTGTCTTATATCCACCGCCGCCCCCGCCCTCGCCTCTCCCGCTTCCGCTTCCGCTTCCGCCGTTGCTCGTCTTTCGGCGGCGATCAGCAGCGAAGAGGGCTGTAAGGTAATCGGGCAGACCAACTGGCCTAGCTCCGTTGGTACACCCCTGAAGCCTGAAGTGTCCACGTACAGACCTGAGTTCGAACTCCACTGGAAGCAGACGAGTGAAATAGGGGAGAGAGAGAGAGAGAGGGGAGAAAGAGAGAGAGAGGCGTGCTATACCTTTCTTGGCCTTTTGGCTAAGTAAGATCAAGTGTAGTATCTGTTCTGATCAGTTTATTATCTGAATCCTTAAAAAAATAAAAAATTACAAAATTCTATAAGCTAATCGTAGCTGAGGACGGCGATGGCGATGGTGATGACGATGGCGATGACGATGGTGATGACGATGGGGGAATCGACGAGAAGATGTGCAAAGTGTAGCTCGACGCTGCGCCTCGTTTGCTTAGCTCTTGTCGGACTGGTTTTGCTGAGCGCTCGCAACAAGGTGGAGGCGTTGAAATTCGAAATCCATCAGAAAGAGTGTTTTGACGAGGAGGTCAAAAGTGACAACGAAATGGTTTCTGGATCGTTTGTCATGTTTGATCACGACGGCTTGTGGAGAAGAGGTGGCATGGGGATGGACTTCACGGTAAGCACGCCTCTCTCCCTCTCTATCCCCTCTTGCTCTTTTTCTCTCCCCCTTTCTCTCTCTCTCTCTCCCTTTCACTCGCTTTCTCTCTCTCTCTCTCTCTTTCACGCTCTTTCTCTCTCTCTCTCTCTTTCTCTCTCGCTCTCTCTTTCTCTCGCTCTCTGTGTGTGTATCTGCTTCCCTCACTTTCGGCCCTACCCTATCTCTATCTCTCTCTTTCTCTCTATTTTTTTTTCTCTCTCTATATCTCGTTCCCTCACTTTCGCCCGTACCCTCTCTCTCTCTCTCTCTCTTTTACTCTCTCTGTGTCTCTCCTTCCCTCACTTTCACCCCTACCTTATCTCTCTCTCTCTCTTTCTCTCTCTCTCTCTCGTTCCCTCACTTTCCCCCCTACCCTATCTCTCTCTCTCTCTCTCTCTCTCTTTCTCTCTCTCTCTCTCTCTCTCTCTCTCTCTTTCTCGCCCTCTTTCTCTCTCTCTCTCTCTCTCTCCTTTCCTCACTTTCGCCCCTACCCTATCTTTTCCCCTTTTGGACGCCTCCTCTTGACTTTCCTCTTGATACCCTTGCGCGCTCTTGTTGTTGGTGTGTGTCCGCTTCTGCAAGGGTGTCCTCGTACTATCGTCGTCCCGCGAACACAAAGCATAACTCAGGGCATATTCAGACTGGTAGCACTTTCTTAGATGTATCTGACTGCAATTACGGCAGACCTGGATGCATCTATCCGTTTTCACGTCCCGAGCTCATTCGAAAAGGTCGTAGTGTGAGCATGCCCTCTCTGAGCCGGTATCCGGATGGGCAAAACAGTTCGATGCATCCATCCATGAGTGTGTCTACATTCATGATGGGGGTGCGTTTTGTTCGGTGGACGACAGTAGGACTTTCCTCGAGGTATCTAAGCGTAATTTGCCGTCAGGTTCAGTCCAGTTTTCGGTCGTGCGAGTATGATACTTTTTTCTGAGTCCTCTTATTTTGGGTTTTGTCTCCGATCTCTCGTTTATTTTATTGTTTGAGTTTTTTTTTTGTTTTTTTTTTTGTTTGAGTAATAGTTTTGAACATTCAGCGTATTTTTCTCATCTTTTGATCTCCCTTGTAGAGGTGTTTCGTCTTAACCAGTTTGAAGCGAATCTGGGCGTAATTGAGGTCCGATACCGTCAGAAAAAAAAGTGCTTACAGGACTATACACCTTCAGTCACAGAGAAGATCGAAGCGAAGCGAATCTGGCCCGTAATCGAGGTCAGATACCGTCAGTATGAGTTCAGGCCCTTGGACGCTTGCTGTTCATGCAACCTTCTCTCCCACTTCCCTCTCTCTCTCCCTCTTCCCTCTTCTCACGCTCTCTCTTCCCTTCGTTTCCCTTTGTCTCTCCGTATATCTCCATCTACCCCCTTCCCGTTTCTCTCTCCGTATATCTCCATCTACCTCCTTTCCGTTCGTCTCTCTCTCTCTCTCTTTGTCGTCTTCCTCCCTTGTCTCTCGCTTTTTCCCTGTCCGCCTCCGCAACCCCCCTTCCCCCTCTTCC